GACCTTTCTACAACATACCTTCTTATCTGTGACACTTCTGCTAGGTATTATAAATTCTTAAATTGACGCCTTGATGAACTGAAACTTAATGTTTCACTTCTATCAACGGTTTCTTGCATTTTTTTCATATTTTTGAGTGATCACTTCTCGACGTATTTTCTTCTTCGTTTAAATCAAATATATGTTCGATTTCAATGATTAAATTATAATTTGAAATAATTTCTTCAAAAAAGTTAATTAATTGACTCATTCTTTCATTTTTCAGCATCAGTTAATAAATTTTCTGCTTTTAAATTATATTTTTGTTGAATTTCCTTTAAACAAAATATTATGGTATAGTTACAAGATTTACTTTTAGTCTAACAATTGTGAAGGTAATCAATTACTAACCATTTGTTAATCAGAGACAAGTATTATCCTATCATAATATATACTGCTTTCTAATTTTTAATAAACAGGTATACATATATACAAGAGATCGTACATATATGCATTCACGTATGACAATAGAACGAGAGAGATGATTCATCAATGAAGGATATTACCTAACATAATTCAAGTATAATCATAAAAGAGCACAGTTTTTGTTGATAAATATTATTTTATTTACTATTAAGTATATCTAAATGCATAATAATACAGTAAAAGTTTTGTTATATTTATAAATGTTCATCGAATGATTATCAAATTCAAAAAACTAGTTCATCTTTTTAAACACGTTCATCAAACAATCCTATTATAAGATCTTATACGATTCATGTATGATTTTTTTCAGGATTTTCCATACCATTGCATACCTGATTTTCTTCTAGTTTTGGCTTTTATCATCTTGTTTTTTTTTTAAAAAGTTTTTTAATCTTTATTCGCAGATGTATATTTATTTTGTAAAAATTACAAAAGCTAAATGCAAATTAAAAAAAATGTGCTTTAAAAAAAAATATTTATTGAATTTGATCATTAAAATGAACTAAAATAAAATAAGAATAAATAATTTAAACAAAAGAAAAGCTTCTTTTATTTAATCAAATTATCTGTCGACTATTTATCCACTTGAATATTTATCTAAATACACAAAAATTATCTTTATAAAAACTATTTATACAAATGAGATTTAAAATCATAATCTTATACGATCATATAAGATTCCAATTATCAGACTTTGTAAGAATCATGTAAAATTGATAGTAGCATCTTACAGTCAGATAAATATTAAATCTTACAACATCCGATTATCAGTAACATCTCATATGATCTTCGTAAAGATTTTCCATCTGGATATGATATAAATAAGCTAATGCAAATTTCAATTACCAGAAAATTATCGTTAAACACACCATTAGTCCGAATGATTATTATATTGTAGTTAATAATTTAATAAGCTTTATAAAATGGCGCCACTATAATTGTAAAAGTGATTTATCAATCCTTTGCCTTTCTTCATAAGGTATAGATGAATGTATTTAAATGAAAATTCTACAGTAATACAAATGCATAAGTTTAAAGAAGAAAACTTGAGTAATAGCAATGTCATAATGAAAGTCACTCACAAGTTATGTCTATACAGTTGATGATGATCGTACTAAATAAAAAAGGTCGAAAATTTTAAACTTATTATTAAATTATATTACATTGCGTTGTTATAATTTATTTATTTACTATTATATTGTTATTATTGAGACTTTTTCTTTCAAAAAGCATGAAGATAGTAGATTTTCAAGTGGATGTATTACGAGTTACCATAACCTTTTGACTGAAATTGACTCTCTCTCTCGTCAGATGGCAAAACTTTCTAGATCGATTCTATATCAAAGAAGGAAAAAGAATCAAGACAAGATCTTTTACGCAGCGGCATTTCGAAAAGTACAAAGATAGAAACAGCAGTGGCGCTAGAATTTTCTTTCTCGAGATGAGTGTGAGTTTGTTGCTGTGAGGTGGACGTATCAAAATTTTCTCATATCCCCGTACCAGAGTTGGAACCGGGCTGAACTAGATGCATTTTTAAAATCAACTGGCTTTCACCGATTTTTCGCCGGTTTGGGTAAGTATGTGTAAAAAGAAGATCCATATCGTATAATTCCATACGTTCTCCAAAAACAAACAAAAAATCTTTGAATTTATGATATTCAATTACTTCTATTAGACTATCTTCATTTGTTTTGATTGTTGAATACTATTTCTATCTAAAGAAAACAAAAACAACAATTTCATTCAACAATATTCAGCGCAAGAGGAAAATTTTACAATAAACTCATGAATTGTATATCTGATTGAATAGTTTATTCTTGCGAAACCTCATACTTTTACAGAGAGAATTGATAAACTTCTAAGTGATTCATCCAATAAAAAGTATAATCTTTTCTAATACAAATTTTCTGTGTAAACGACGATAAAAGAAAAAATTATTAAAAAAACAAAAACAATTTTCAACTTTACCAGAATGACTCTGACTGATATCGTTAAGTATGGAAGAAAAAGACAAAAAATATATACTATAACATCAATTGAAAATAAATAATTTATATTCGAAAATCAATCCATATTTTTCTATTCAAAATATAAATCATGACTTATTTTAATTTATCGAAGTAAGAAATGATTTATTGAAAAATCATATTCTAATTGAATTTTTGAATCATTTTCATATCATAATGCTTCAAAAAGAAATTCTCTTGTATATCATTCATTAAATCTATTAATTACATCAGCACGTAAAGAATACAACAAACATAAATTTCAATTGATACATGTTTTTCATTTTAATTTCTATCAAATACATATGTTGAATCTGCAAAATGTACCAAATAATTTATTTATCATATCATTTTGAGCATTGATTTTTGACATAAAAACATTTATTTGTCAACAAAAATTATTTAAATGGTAAAGATTAGTATAAGTTGTTGGGCATATACATAATGATGTTAAGATGGAGATGTTAATGAAAGTATAGCTTGAGATGATTGAACAGATAATTGATTCTATGAATACCTAGAGCTTCATTTTGATGACAACATTGTGATTATGTATGATGAAAATGAATAATATCAACTATAACAAATAACAAAAAAGAAATAGAAATATATTTTAAAATTTTATTTTTGGTTTTATTTATTTTCAAAAATCTGAAACTTATATAAAAGATTGTTGCTTCCAATTAATGTTATTTAGTATTGAATCACTATTCTATAAATAAAAAATAAATATTTTCTTCTCACGCTATTCAAAAAAAGTAAAAATCGGTACGTTTTTTTAGTATTATTAATATTCTATTTTAAAAGTCTTTGAAAAGAATTTAGTTCACATAACAAATGACTAATATTCTTTTGTTTTGAAATTTCTCAAGACAAAAATTAAAACTAACATATGTAGATTAATTAACGAGAGTCAGTGAATTCCATCGAACTTTATTTTCTTGAGAAAAATAAGTATTCTCATGTCTTACCACATATCTGATAATGAATTATATTTAATTATTTAGAAATCTAAGACTCTCCTTTCAATACAAACATAATAAGAGTAATAAACGTAATACATTATTAGACTTTATCCAGGGACGTATATTCACCATCTGTTACAAAACACGAATCACATGATGATAAAAGGATGACATTAATATATATATATATAATAAGTACGATATCTTTGCCCCTCAAAAGTTCAAGTTAATAGAAGTGCGTGTGGAGAAAATAAGCTTATTATGCTTGATAAAATATACTTTCTCAAGACACATTGTCTATTGTTTTTGTATAAAAGCAAATCATCATTTCCTATGTATACGGTATATTCAAGGGAATATTAAAAGTAGAGCAAAAAAAAGAAAGAAAAAAAAAAACAAGAAGCATTTAAGTTTCTTTTTTTTTTCTCTTTATGTGATGTAGCAAATAGAAAAACGGACGATGAAAATATAGGTAGATGCTATACTTATTTTGCTATTCATTTTTGTCTTATCCCATATTCACTCTTTTTTTCTGTCGTCATCAAAATATTATCGTCTCTATCAAATGTATTAAAAATAATCATTCGTTGCTATTCTTCTATTTAGCGTTGTCTGTTTTTTTTACGTTAGATTTTTTTCTTCATTAAGAAATGTTCTTATGCTTCATGTGTTTTTTTTTTTCTTTCTTAAGAACTAGCAGAAAAGAAGATTTAATTGTTTTTGTTTCCAATCTTCATTTCATATTATATTTCATGTTCGTGAAAAGAAAAGTATCTATTCATTTTTATCTTATATATAACAATATAGTTTACAAACACTATAATATCATCGATTATTTCTACAAAATATTAAGATATTTTTACTTCCTCATTTTTTTTTTTTTTTGTTTGAATATGTTTTGATTACATTCATACACATATTTCTTTTCCTCCTATATTATTGTCAATTAATTTATATATTCTCCGTAAACATTCTTACAATTATAGCCGAGTATTAATACATTCCATATGGCATGTAACCATTTTTTTTTTTTTAATCAAAGTTTTTGGTTCGCAATCTATGATATTATATTTACAATGGTTATCACAAGTACGTATTCGTTCATTTAATTTTGATTACAGAAAAAACAAAAGGATTTTTGTTTTTTGCATTGAACATCCTTCTTTATATAATATAGATTAAAAAATATAATTTTTATTAGTTTCTTGTTAAAGAAATTATGCCTACCTAATGAAATAATTTGATATAAATAGTAGATAATTAGAATATTATTTTTTATTAATTATCTATTTATCTATAGAAAATTATCTTCCGAAGATTTGCTATTTTTATTTCTTCAAATTATGTTTGAAGAAGATATTTTAAATAGAAAATGTTCTTACTCCCCTTTCTACTTTGAGTTGCATGTATATCTATATTTATTTTGTATGCAAATATAAAAATACTTCTTATTTCAGATTAAAAATAATATGTGAATGCACAGAATTCACATGTACATATATAATCAACGAGATTATATGTATTCAGATATTTCTATAATATAAATTCTGTTCAAATATTTGAAATGCATTCATCAAAACAAAATTTATGTATTAATGATCAATTAGATTTTGATAAACAAGACAATCATCCAGATATTGATTCGCCGATACGTAGTTATGCAATTATTGAAACAAATCCAAATGAATTAGATCATATTATTGATCTTCTTCGACAATTTTTTCCACAAACAAGAATTATTGAATTTAGTAATCAAAATCATTTAATAAATACAACAATACCACAACGAGAAATATCTTTTGAATCAAATTGTAATTCTCCTTTTTCAATATTATCAAAATCATCATTTGATAGTGATATTAATAATGATCAAATATCATCAAATATAAATTCACAAGTAATAAAATGAAAAAGAAAAAAGAAATAAATAAAAATTTTTATTTTTTATTTTTAGACATTTAAAGGTAAAGTAAAAGATTATTTACAACGTCGTTATTTAGAACAAATTCGTGAGCAAGAATCTCCTAAAGGAATTTTTACAAAATCTCGTAATGATAATATAAATTCATTTGATTCATCATTATTTTCAACTGTTGATAAACCTTCAATAACTTTAAAATCTCATTCACTTGATTCATCATCAATTTCAACTCAACAATTCATGTCTAATAATTTAATTCAAACAAAATCTCCTTCACATTCACAAAGTAAACGAGGTTTCTTACAACGTTCGACAAATATTGACATGGATGATACATCGAACATTAATAATAAACTAGCATTTAGTATCGATCAACCAGATGATGATTTTGATAATGATGATAATGATAAATCTTCTTCATTTCAACATTCATATTCTGAACAACAAACTAATGATAAAAATAATCATTGGTTTATACCTTGTTATCGTGCCGATGAACAAGAACAGAATAAAAGACAATCATCATTTCCTAATAGAACATCATTACCAGAGACGCCTTATTTAACATCAAGTGATCCTGGTCCATTTCATTCATCATGGTTTAATATATCTACTTCTCCCTCTAAATTTCAGCTTCCTCAATGTCAAGAACAATTTGTTACTAATTCAGAAGGAAGTATTGCTCAATTATCAACATTAACAAATACATTATGTGATGAGCCAAATGTCTTTACTTCTGTCAGTCCAAGGTAAAAAGAACTAAGTTAATAAAATTTATGTCTATAGACACATTAATGAAGTTATTTTTTAATCTAGATGCAAAATAGAAAAACACGATGTAATTACTTCTACAGATTCATCATTGGTTCTATCTTGTCAGATTTGTGGACAAGAATTTGATTCACGTCAATTGTAAGATTATTAAAAACAAAAAAAAAAAACAAATATACAAAGTAGTTTGTTTTATTTTAGATATTTAACTCATAATTGTACTCATCTTGAAAATTCATGTCAAGATAATAAATCCGATATATTAGATTTTGATCCAAATTATGATAGTTCTAATAATTTACGTGATTTTACATGTAAAGTATGTTCAAAACATTTTGCTCGGTAAAAATTTTTTTTGTAAAAAACATAGTTCTTTGAAATTTTTATCATAAAATCTTTTTTGTTTTTTTTTTTAGTAGTGATATGTTAAATCGACATTTACGTTTACATTCTGGTAAACGTCCATATCGATGTATGATATGCAATGTATATTTTTCACGTAGTGATCATTTATCAACACATTTTCGTACACATACGGGTGAAAAACCTTATACATGTCCACATTGTTCATATACAGCATGTCGACGAGACATGATTACAAGACATTTAAAAATTCATACGAAATCACGAACAGACCGCAAGCATGCAACGTTAACTAATACTTCAAGTAACGATTCTCAAAAATAATCATACTGGTTTTTACTATTAAAAAAGAAATATCTATCTATCTATCTATCTTATTTTCTAGTCATTTCTTAATTTGTATTATGTATATGATATAGAGATGATTCATACAAGTATTCGCTTGGTTTTTTCTTCTTATCATAGGGTACTACATGTTAATATCTAATTTAATTTAAAATGCTTATTTTTTAAAGAAAAAAAAAATAATATTTATAGTGTTAAGTTATGAAATAAAGTGAAAATTAGTGATGATTGATGTATGAAGAACAAATGACTTTCTTTTTTCTTTAGATAAATAATTATAATAAATTTAAAAAAAAAGATAGAAGACAGAATTTTTAATGATTATATTCTAGAAATAGATTCTCATTATTATGAGTTATCCAATAAATAGATATGAATATTTATTGAATTTAAATATAAAAATGTAGCGACACTGGTGTACCTAAGGAAAAATAATAATATCATTGAGATGAGATTAAATAAGAAAAGAAAACTTACATTGAAATGTTTATGGTGGCATACATTATTAGGGTATACCATGGAAGAAGGTTTCCAACTGATAAATTGTTGTTGAATTTGAACTGTGTGCATCATGTAGATTCAAATAATACAGAGCCCGAATTCTCAGCTGAAATACTGCATTTTTGACAGTATTTTTTAAGTCAGTGTTGTAATTTCGTACAGGAAAACTAATTTTCGAATTTCGACTTGAAATTTTGCACAGATAATAAATCTTAATAGGAATAGTTTATGATGAAAGTTTCAGATCTTTTGATTTGTTCTTATCCTGAAATAAGATTATCGACTATGTTGGTGTATATGAGCGATACGAATGATACGCTTTTATTATAAATATATCTTAGAATAGAAACAACAAAAATGTCTGTTTTCCTTGTGTTCTTGTAGGGATCATGAACATTAACTTTAAAAAAGTACTGTAACAATGTAGCATCTTAGGACCAAGAAGGTAAAAGTTCGAACTCTTTTCAAGGTATTCATCGTATCATTAGAATCTACACAATACACATAGTTTCGACTGAAATACGATTGATCATTTGAAGGACTTCTTTCGTTAATCTACTTTTGCTTCTTAAGAAAATAATGTTAGTAAAGAATACGTTATGTAATTACTGTTGTTTAATTGTCTAACATTATAAAACAACTTTTGAAAAGTACAATTAACATATTAAGCATCTGTTATTCGTTCTTGATTTATTCAACCTTTTTTGTTGAATTTTTATATATGATTATATCTTAAAGGAGATATTTTTTCACACTCATTGACCTTTATATAAAACATGTTGAGTTATTATTCTCGTTTTTTTCATTGGGGGTATAACGCGTATATCCTTTTATGATAATGATAAAGAAGTCATAAATATTTCTGCTTTGTTATATTTTATTTTATTCGGAATAATTGATTTGGATATATTCTCGTCAAGTAAAACTTTAAACTATTTTCATAAGCAAAGATTGAATGAGCTTCAGCACTTAGTAAAAGTGTGTGGAAAGATTTGTTGATTTCTATTACTGCTATACGAAATAATAGGTTTGTTTCAAGTTTTTTTCATTTTTGAATATATTTAAAAAAATTTATTTTATTTTAAAAGGCATCTAATCAATTATCCATGTAATTTAAGTAATATAATAAATTCTTCGTTGAATACAGTTGAACTAAATGCACCATCAACCGGTTGGGGGTATTTGTAGTAATCAACAAACATGAGCTGCTTTACATCTTCGTTTATTAATTCAATTCTTGTGAAAAAAATTTTTTTTTTCTGATTAGTTAGTTTGGTTTGTTTTTTTTTCTATTGAATATCAATGTAGATCATGTATTGTTAAAAAATTATTCTACAAAGAATATTCTTTAGATTTAAATTAAAATAAATATGAAAAAAAATCAACTGTAGTTTTCGATTGTTTTATATATTTGAATGATTGATCTAAAAATAAATTTGATTTAGATCAAACTAAAGTTGAAAAAAGGTCTATGAAACTAATCAGAATCAAAACAATTCGAGCTTATAACGTTCCATATCCAAGATTGAATAATTCTTTTTTGTGTGTTAAAAAATCGATATTCTTTTTTTACTTGTTGCAGAGTATTTAAACAACAAAGAATTTTCATTATATTAGAACGACAAGTTTAAATTCATAATAGACAAAAGCCACGAACTCAGAGTCTATTGTGAGATTATTTTAAAACCAAGAGATTTGAATCATTCATTTCAAGGGATCTATCGCGTGAGAGAAAAAATAAAAATTATTATGTTTATCCTTCCGCACGCTTTGCCATATACAATAACTATCATCATGAAAATATATCAATATCGTTTAACCATTCATAGATTCAAAATGGTGTGTTCCTAAATCTTCCTATTAACAATAAAAGCTGCTTTAATGTGTTCCATTTTTTGATTCTCCAACGGTTAAACTAATAGCCTTCAGATTATAATATATTGTTATTTCTTTCACAGGAAGCATCGAGGTCCCAAAATTGAGCTATGTGTAAAATAAAAATGTCTTACAGTAATGATAAGATTCTTAAAAAATCTTGCTAGCTTTACTAGGTAATAACGAATCATTTTCAATTATTGAAACGATGTATATTCCCACTTTCGCGTCTCTTGATTTCTTTGTTCAGTAATTAGAAGAAAGTTTACGAATCAAATCTGTTCTATTTATATCTCAATCCATAGATATGTCCATTGCATTTAAAAATTTATTTTCCTACAAGAAAAATTACATCAAAATTTGTTTATAGATAAATTTTTAGTAAGATATTTTTTGTTTTTTATTTTTCTAAAATAATATATTCACATAATTGAATTCCTTTATTTAATTGTTCTTCAATATTATTAATATCAAATTTTTTTCGTAAACAATATAAATAAGCTTTATTCATATTCATTTTTTTATTATATGGTTGTAAAATTAATTTTTCAAGTAAATCATTATTAAATTGATCATTATTTATAATTAAAATTATTTGTAATTGTTCATTATTTATTTCTAATGAATTCCATATATCAAAATTATTTAATTTAATATCATTTGTTAATAATGAAGGTTTTCCACGTTGTATAAGTAATGTTGCATAAGATGATTTATTTAAAAATTTTTTAATATTATTATTTAACATAATTAAAATTTTTTTATTAGGATTACTAAGTAAATGTTGAATAAATTGTAAAAATTCAATACAAACACTTTTATTTATTCGTTTTTTATCTTCACGTAATGATGAAATAGGAAGAAAAATTGAAGCTATTTGTAAAGCAATTATTGTATGATATGTTTGATAAACATTTATATCATCAATATTATTAAAAATAATTCCATGAACATATGAATAAATATAATATAATATTAAATTTAAATTAAAACAAGTTAATGATGATGTATATAATTGATTTGTTGAATTTGCATGAATAATAAATGTAAGAATTTGTTGAAATGGATGTTTTTTATTAAGATATAAAAGTAATGATTCTATATATGAAAGATTTTTAAGATGTAATTTATTTGTTGTTGCAATATCAATAAGAATAATAAAACCAAGTAGATCATTATAAGAAAGAAAATCTTCTTTTAAAGAATTATGAAAAATTTTTTCATAATCATTTGTTGTAGAAGAAAATAATTGATTAGATGAACAAAATGAAGCTATATGAGGATAATTTGATGATAATGAAGAATTTAAAATATTATGAAGATATGTACCAATTTTATCTGATGATAAATCAAAAGAAAGAATTAATAAAGACATTTGAATCGATCTAAAATTTTATTTTAATTCAATATTAACAAAAATATTTGAAAATTAATAGAGAAACAAGAAAATTTCGTTCACATTAGTCGAAAACATGTGATAAAGCTACCATGCCCTACACGAGAACTTCGATAATCAATGGAATTTAGACACAATTTTCCGAACTGGATTGTCTGTAGATTTGTTCGGCGACTACCAACCATTTCTTGCTTGAAAAAACAAAAATTTGATTGGGAGACAGGGGAAAAAATCCGAATACGTGGCAGTCTAGAATCCTGCATTCAAGTTCTATCGATTTTCGACGTGTCCACTCGGATGAATAACATGAAACAATACGTAGTAACTCCGACAATGAACGATGTACTAACGATCTAGTCTACATTTTAAACTGGACTAAAAAAGATGCAACTTGATGATATGATAAATACAATCAAATTTGTTCACTGAATAAATCTCAATAGATACATTATTTTTTAGCATGTGTAAAATATAAAAACAAAAAAAAATAATTTAATTGCAAGAAATCGATTCAATTGAAGGAATAACACTAAATTAAATTTTAATTCAAATATTTCTCTTTTTGAAATTATTGATTTTAAATTACCTGACAATTGTTTTCATTGGTTTTATTTTTTAAACAAATCATGAAAAATAAAAAGAGGTCGTTTGATGACATAGAACTGAACATCAAATTCTATTCACAAAAAGTCATAGAATAAAGACTAGAGGAGAAAAGCCTGTCACGGTCTGTTGGGGAGGAGAATGCAAATCGTTACCCTATGCATTTTAACACTCCTTTTAGATCGTGTTTCATAAAAAAACAAAGAATGATTTTATTGTTGTTAATACAAATAATGAAATAATAATTATTGTAAAATACATTGACATTTTACAGTATGATGAGAATGTTTTTTAACTGATAAACGAGCAGCTCGAATAAATAAATCTTGTACACCTTCACGAGTCTTAGCTGAACATTCCATGTAAGCATCAGCTTTGATTTTTACTGCTAGTCGTCTACCCATTTCACTTGTTACTAATGTTTCACCTTGTTTTTCAAGTTCAGCAAGTCTTTTTGAATCTTTTCTCAGATCTGTTTTACATGCAACTAATATTATCGGACATTGATGGCAATGAAGTCGAATTTCTGGTGTCCATTTTTTCATAACATTCATAACTGATGTTGGATTATCAATACTAAAACATATAAGAACAATATTTGTTCTAGGATAAAATAGTGAACGAAGACGATCATGATCTTCTGCAGCAGTTATATCAAAAAGAGCCATATGAATCTAAAACATCATAAGCTAAATATTCTAATTGAAATTTGATATACTTCTTTACTTACAGTTCTTCGGTTAACTTGTATCGGAATAACAGGTGTGTCAAGAATATGTTGAGTATAATCATCAGTAACAAATTGATTTGTTACAAATGAAAGTAATAATGTTCTTTTACCACACATAGGATCACCAACAATAATTAATTTTCTACTTGCTTGTATCATTTCGTGTCTATCCATGAGCAGTTAGATCTGAAAAAAAACAAACCATAAAATCAACCATTTTCATATTCAATGAAATACAACGGAAATATTTTTATATATTTATTTAAAAGAAAGAGGTAGTTCAAGATGACTCAACGACATAGTCATATCATATTTTCTACATAACGATAAGTATATAAATTTAAGAAGGTTTTTATTATTTATCAGTATTCAAGATAACAACCTTTTATCTGTTCTTTGTGTATATATTATGACAATGAAAGATGATTCATTTGAAAATTTCTTTTCGTAGAGATTGGTTTTAAAAAGTTTGCTAATTAAAGTTGACCTCTAAAAGTAATTCTCATTAGTTATGACATTTAGTAAACGAAAATTAAACATTATGCTACATATAAGTAATTTTTAGTAAGATACAACTAGAAATTTTCATGGATTTTTGAGTTTCTCAGCTAAATCGTAAGATATTATTGACAATCTCGTTTTGAATTTCTGCTTTGTTTTCAAGTTAGACAGCCCATGTCATCAATCTTTCATCAAAAATGACAGTTCGAACAGTGTGCTCCTTTTTTTATCAAGTTTTTTAATTTTTCCTATTAAATTAATGTTTTCAAACGTAAAGAGATCAATTCTAACTCAAAAAAAATCGATTTTAATATGCTACAGTAAATAAGTGAAGAAAAAAAAATTTATCACATTAATCATATAAGAAAAGCAAAAATACAAAAAATAAATTAGTTGAGATCACATCAGTTATGTTGATATGTACATGTTCTCGTAGAAAAAATATATAAAGTTTTAGGTATGTGTTGATGGATTCGTTTGAACTGTAGTTTGTTGCTTTTTAAACCCTTTTTAATATCCCGACTTTTATTTAAAAATGTTTCATGTAAATTACACCATTCAATTTGAAAAATATCATCTGATAATCGAAATTTATTTCGTACAGCTTCTAAAAAAGAGATGTGATAAGCAATATATGAGATTATTTCTGCTAAACAAACAAGATAAAATAAATTCTTAGTCAAACCTTGTATTAATTTATAACCATCATTAAATTTGATTTTTGTTGCATCAAGTTGCAATAATTCTTCATGTGTAAAAATAATATCAATTAATGATGTTACATATAAATTCATCTTTTGTTTAACACCAGGTATTGATAATAAATCAACATCATTTCCGTCATTTGGATTTTTATACATCTAAAAACTGAAAACAAATCTTATGAAAAATTGATTAGTATAAAAAAGGGCATGAAAAACATTTTTTTCAGAAGTTCTTTCTTCACATGTTATTACTCTGTTTAAAGCTGTTTGAACGTACCATTATTGTTTCAAATGTTTTTTCTTCAACTAGTTGTTCTACATTGGGTTCTTCGAATGGCATATATATCTAAATGGAAAGAAATAAATATAAAAAGCATGTCCATAATAGTCAGTCTTTAACCGTGTTTGTATATAAAAATGCACCGTTAATTCGTGCATGATTTTACTAGAATACGTTTTTAGATTTTCACTCTAGATGGTCTTTGAAAGTTGTAGCCCTGGTAACTTACGAAAAAAGATTTCAGACCGTAATATTTTCTAGATTATTCTTAATCATGCAATACACGATAAGAAACCAGCCTTAAGGGAGACTTTTTACTCCAACATCTGTCAAGCTGTCGCAGAAAGTGACTCTTCTTACCTTTTTTTACATAAGGCTTTTTGTATTTTTTTTTGATTTTCAAATAACATTTTAATCATATATTCTTGTCCAATTAATATTTCTTTCAAATATTTCTTTTTCTATTTTTGTAATATTTAACAATAATTGTTTTAATAAAAATACAAATTCTTTTTGTGATGGTTACTCATTATCATCATTTATACCAAGAATTTTTTGACCAGCTAATAATTTTGGTGTTTGAAGAATTGATATTGATGATGAAGATGGTGTTATTTGATGACTTTCGTGGTGGTGGTTTATTTTTATAATCACTATCGTCATCGTCATCATATTCCAATAGTTGTGTATCAACCATAAAAGTAGATGATGAAGTTGATATGGCCGTATTTAGTGGAGTAGACCTTTTTGATGATGTACATTGACGTTTTGATTTTATATTTGTTGCTTTTGTACGTTTGCTATATCGTCGTTGTGGTGATGATCTTAAATCTTCACAAACACTACTATCAGAATTATTAATTGTTTGTTTTAAATGACGAAGATTATCACCAGCACCTCAAAGTAAATAGTAAATCCACTTTTTATGGAAGAAAAATAACGTTTGAAAGGAAAGACCTTATAAGGGGAATCCCCCATCCGTTTTTTTCACCAGTTTGTAGGGGATACCCCAAAATATTTTCGAATCCCAGACTTGTAGCTTTTGATGAAAAATTTTAGTTTTTAAAATTTTCCTTGTATTTTTTGGTATTTTTCTTTTTTGAAAGCAATGAGAATATACAAAAAGTTCTAAGTCACTTCGAAATTCGATTCTGAAAAAGTTTTACTTAATAGTTCAGAGTCTAGTATTTTCAATCTTAAAGATTGAGCTCAAGACGTTTAGCGACAACAAAGTATTATCTCATAGAAAAAATCATAATAAACAAATTTTACACTCACGTTTTTGCCCCAAAATGCTTCCTCACAGAGGACTGCTGACAAGATCTCGAAAAAGCACACTTGTGGCTCCCAAAACCCATTCTCAAGGTCAGATCCAAATTTCAAAGTCAAATCCTTAATAGAAAGCACATAGCACCAGAGATAGACGCGTAAAAGTAAAATAAAAGAGCCAAGCTATAAAAAAAGCAAAAACCTTTTTTGTGCATACCTAATGTACTATGTACATTTTTTGATTGTGAATTATTAGTTACATTTTTAAATGCTTTTCCTGGAAAAAAATTGGAATCGTAAACGGAAAATTCACACAGTAGAATAAGAATTTACTTATCCAAACCTCCAAACGGAATATCTGATAAGCTTGTAATTGTTGGTTCTTCTAAAAGTAAAGATAGAAGAAAAATATCGCAAATATCACGCTTCTGTGCAGAATGAACTCAGTATTCCTACTTGATTGTTGTTTAACAATTGTTATGGTTTTTGTTTTCATTTTATTTTCTTGTTCTGGGTTATAATCAGATTCAATATCTGTATTCATAGCTTTTCCTAATAATTTTTGTGCTTCATGTAATTCAGCTATTGTACCTATAGTAGAAAGAGAAATAGACAAAAGATAACTTTTCACATTTTTTCAAAAAAAATTCACGTTCATCTGGTACCTTCTTTGAAAACTATTGCCAGATATTTGTTACCGCCACTTTGTACAGTAATTAATCCATCATGTTCTGAATTTGAACACTATTTATTATTAACAATAGAAAATGTATTGTCACTTGGAAATATTACAAGTTTATATTTTTGTTCGGTATTGATTATGCCATAAGTTTTGTAAGATTTTTTTATAAATATTAGCATCGTCTAACATATCTAAGCTATTATACATATTGAATTTAAAAAAACAATAAATAGATCGATTTTATGTCGCAAGAGTAGAAGAATGATCATCACAGCGCTCGACTCTTATATAAATAGACATTGAATGAGAAAAAGAACAATGGTGACGGTCAAGTCGATCTGAATGAGATGAGCAATGACTGACGAATGAGACAATGACAATAATCTTTTCAGTCTGATATAAAATATGCTATATATAGTTGTGTATGCGCATAGTCGTTTACTTTGTTCTCGGCTGTAAAATAAATGAACACACATAGCTGTTTGCAAAAACACTTTCACAAAACTAGAAATTTTTTCCTAGTATTTTCCTATCATATGAATTAACTGTAGACTTCGTTTCTTTAGTGATAATTCTTTGACAGTTGGACAAAGAAGTGCCCTTATGAAAATACATTTGATTTTGTTTTAGATATATATAAATAAAATATATGATTCACTTCTTACCCTCAAAATCTGTTATATATTCATATTACATTATTGAAGCAAAGCCATGAAATTAGCTAGAGTGGTGAAGTGTACAACAAAAACTTCTATAACCCCTCTCTATTCATAATATAAACGAACTAAAAAATAAATACATTTAATTGGTTATCGAAAGAGAAATAGTCGACGATACGCCCTTAGTGTCAAAGAAAAATAACCATTGAATTTTATTAAAAATTCTCATGTATTTCGTAGCAGTCATTTACTCATTTCTCTCTTCATTAATAGTAACGCATTATACAAATGAAAAAATTGTCTTGAAGCTTCTGTATTACAAATCGAAACATTCCCATCATAGTGTTCATTCATCTCATCAATCACCTCATCCATTTTGTCTTCGTTTTTATCGAGTATGTTACTTGTGAACACATCGTCCAATCAAAAGGGCATGAAGCACATGGTACTGAACATTTTTTAGGTGTAGGTAGTAGTATAGTCGAATTGATAACAATTATTTGTTTAATTACAAACATTCTAAGTCGAATCGATTGTGAATATAGAACCGTAGAATGTGCTTCACTAAACGGACAAGAAATCTTTGGGATAAAATAATTTTGCCGGGAACCCGCAGGATCCCGTCACTTTTTGCGGGATAGGCGGGAACCCGCGGCTTCCTGCGCAGAAAAGTAAATCCAGCGAGATCCCGGCGAGATTCATAAAAAATGAACGACATGGGCTTCCACATGCACAATCTGAAGGTGAACGACTGTTATGTGATGGTTTCATCTTCCAACAAGACCATGTCACCCTGAATACACATCGAGAATCATTGACATAATGTGAAGAAAATTTTACGCATTTTATAGATAATAACAGATGATGACCAAACAATCTCTGTACTCATGCGCAAGATCATACACGCTATCTTTCTTTTCTCTCCCACCCTCTATATACTGCCTTTTATGTTCCTTTTCATCGGTTCTCTATTTTCTTTAACTTTGTTTATTTTATTTTATTTTTTTTGTTTTATCATCTTTTTTCATTACTGCTAAGCATGTATCTGAACCTGCAATAAAAACAAACCCAATAATAACTTGAATTAAACTTGCATCTTAACATCCATTTTGAAAACAAAATATGCATATATAAAATAAACTTTTATTTACAATTTGTGTAAGTTTTCACGCTGCATCTTGTAGTGTATTTTATTTTCTTTTTTTGTTCGTAAAATATATTAGATAATAAAGAGATAAAAGAAGCAAAAGAAATTCATCATATAACAAAAAAAAGATATCATTCGAAGCGTTAAAAATTGGTCTCACAGATTTTTTGCTTATTTTGAAGACAAAAAACGCGCAAATAAAATAAGCTTTTCTATGCAGATTGTAGCACTTTTTACGTTGCATCTTCTAGTATATTTTGTTTTTTATTAATAAAACCTATTTAGT